AATATACATATAAGTACCTCTATATGATATATATATAATATGTACAGGCAGACATAGACACTGCATTTTTTTTTTCAGAATCATTTAAGGGTAAGGGACATATATCCTGGCCCTTTACCCTACACACTTTAGTGTTTATTTCCTAAGAATAGGGATATTTTATTTATTTATTTATTTTTATTTTTTTTTTAAGATTTTTTTTTTTTATTTACTTATTCATGAGAGATACAGAGAGAGAGAGGCAGAGACACAGGCAGAGGGAGAAGCAGGCTCCATGCAGGGAGCCCGACGTGGGACTCGATCCCGGGTCTCCAGGATCACACCCTGGGCTGCAGGTGGCGCTAAACCGCTGCGCCACCAGGGCTGCCCGGGATATTTTATTAAATAATTTCAGTAGAGTTATCAACTAGTAAATTTAACATCAGTTAGATATTTTTATCCAATCTATCATCTATAGTTCATTCAGTTTTGTAAGTTGACTGAACAATGTCCTTTATGGTGTTTTTTTTTCTTCTAATACAGAACACAGGGGTCAAGTCTTTTTTTTTTTTTTTTAGGGGTCAAGTCTTATATTAAGTTGCTATGTATCTTTAGCCTCCTTTAAACTGAAACATTACCACAGCCTTTGTCTTTAGTGACATTGACACTTTTGAAGAAGACAGGCCCTTTCTCCCTCTCATTTTTAAAACAGAGGTTTCTCGTATTGGATTTGTTTGGTCTTGCTCTATACCTCACTGGTGATAATGGTTTTGAAAACCCAGTCATGGTGTCTGAGTTCTCCGTTGTATAATTTGTATTTTTCCCTTGCATGTAGTAAATAACCCATAGGGAGACACTTTCAGGCCATAAAATAGCCCACTCTCCAAAATTTCCCCCTAGATTTAACATACATTATGATTTTTGCCTGATCGAATCCCTACCATCATGCAAAATCATGTTTTTCCCCCAGTTCCAGCACTCTCCGCATTTGCTAGTTAGCACTTATGTTATATATATATATATGTTATATGTTATATGTTATATATGTTATATATATATTATTATACAATTATATTGTTATGTGTATATAATAATATATAATTTCTTGATTATATAATCAAGAGCCCTGTGTCCATTATTTAATTGATGTGTTTATTTATTATAAGTGTTGACACACAAATTACTATTTTATCAAGGTTTATATTTCATTATCATACTTAATTATTTTGGCTTTCAGGTTCTCCCAGTTTGACCTCTGTGAGTTCCTTCAATCTGGCTCCTACATCCTTAATCACACCCACCACTTTTTTGAGCATCTCCTTACCTTTTGGCTACATGTTCCAGGTGCATCTTGCATCTTCTCTGCCCCAGCCCTGGAATCAACCACTTCTCTGAGGAACCCTGGTTCCTTTTAGAGAGGAGTGACATTAGAGATCAAGATCTGGTCATTGCTCATTACTACTAGCATATCTTTGCATCTTGGATCCTTGGCCCACAGAGCTATGAAATATATGTGTATATATGCCATATGCATATAAACCAATACATACACTTTTAAGAAATCATGAGTTCACATTGATACCTCAAGTTCATCTTCAGAGGCTTTTTCATTGTTTTTCCCCCATTCTTTATTTGTGTGTCCTTTCCTCTGTGAGAACCTTGGCAGCCAACATCAGCACGTTTACTCATTTGCTCAGTCTTTTAATACATCCAAAATTATGTCAGAGTTGCTTTTTACCTACCACTACATAAAACAGACCTCCTTCCACAAGTTCAATATTTGTTTGCATCACCCAAAACTGAAGGTATATTGTTAAGTGTTCATAAGTTTAGTTTTTGTTTTTCCTTTTTCAGTGTGGTTATAGTATTCTGAAATACTATCAGGTTCAGGGCACCTAGGTAGCTCAGCGGTTGATCGTCTGCCTTTGTTTCAGGTCGTGATCCCAGGGTCCTGGGATCAAGTCCCACATCAGGCTCCTGGTGAGGAGCCTGCTTCTTTCTCTGCCTGTGTCTCTGCCTCTCTCTCTCTCTCTCTCTGTCTCTCATGAATAAATAAATAAAATCTTTTATAAAAATTAAAAATCATAAAAGATACCATCAGGTTCATCTGTTCATACTGTTTTTAGTTTTCCCTTTTTATATTTATTAATGCAATTTTTTAAAATAAATTTGTAGAATATAAGTACACTTCCAAAAGTCAAAACAATAAAATATATATTTGGAGAATGATTACTCCCTCCTGTGTTTCTTCCATTCCATTCCCCCTCTGCCAGCTCTTTGTAGGTATCCAACTTCATTGTTTCCTAGTCTAGCTGTCTTTTATTTCTTTTTGTGAAAATAAACAGACATGTTTGTTTGGGGTTTTTCCCAAACAAATGTGTACATTTTTACAATTTGCTTTTTTTCATTTAATAGAATCTTCTGGATATACTATTTTAGTTTATAAAGATAGTTCTTTTTTTTTTTTTTTTATAGTTGCATAGGACTCCATTGTTTAGGTACTCCATTGTTTGTTAAACTATTCTTCAGTGCTTGGATATCGAGGTAGTAGTTTGTAATTCCAGATAATGTTCTAATGCATTCCCATCAGCAATATATGAGAATGCCTATTTCTCCACATTCTAAGAAAGTATTATCAGGCTTTTGAACTTTTGCTAGTCTGATGGGTGAGAAGTTCTCAGTATAGATTTCTGTTATGAGTGAAATTGAGTGTCTTTTCATATGTTTAAAAGGGCCATTTTTTGGTCTCTTTTTCTTCTAATTATCTTTGTTTTACAATAGGATTTTTGTTCTTTCTTTTTTCTCCTCAGTTTTTAAAAGTTTTTATATAATGGGGACTTTAGCTCTTTGTAATATGTTTTCACATATTTTTTTTAGCTTATTTGCCTTTTTATCTTGCTTATGGTGTTTTTTGCCAATAAAGTTTTTTGTTTGTATTGTTTATATAGTCAAGTTTATTAATTTTATTGCCTTTGGATTTTGAATGATGGTAAAAAAGCCTTTCCTTACTCTTAGGTTATAGAAAAATTCTAGAATATCTTTGTGAAGGATAGTTTGACTATCAGAAACCCTCTGTGCTCAACAGTTCTAGTTCTAGAAAAATATATATTCTGAAGTACACAATAGCATTCTCCATAATAATGAAAAATTGGAAACAATATAAGTGCCCACCAGTAGAGAACTGATTAGATAAGTTGTTTTCAACCTTAGGAGGCCCCATGTTTTCTTTTTATAATATTTTTAGAGCTCATTTACTCTTTGGAAATGAAATACATAGGTAACATAACACATCTACATCCATGATGTCAAAGAAACAGAAATAATAATGGCTTAACCATAATACAAAGAATAAATAAAAGAAAATAATGAACTAACATAATTTATTTTAAAATAATATGTACCTCAATATGTTTAGACACGATTTCAGTAGAAGACATAATGACTTAAGTAGTCAGATGCTTGCACCCATATATTGAATCACTGTGCCTCTTACAACAGTGATTCATGTGTGTTGTATTGGTGACTCAGAAATCCCACAAGCCTGAATAACTCTTGGTAAAGTTCCGAACAAAACAAGATATAATCTCCTGTAGAAGTACATGCAGTTGCCTTCCTGGAAAATTAAGTATATATTAAGGCTGTCAAAAACATTTTGTTTTGTATGTGACATGGAATTAAGTTCTAGGTCATGTAATTATGAACAGGTTTTTCATCATCTTGAATGTCTGATAGGACATTTCAAAGTTGTATAGGACACAGGCCACTTCTTTGTTGTGTAGGAATGTCTTGAGCCTTGTAGAGTATCTAGCATCCCTGCTCCTCACCTGTTAAATGGTAGTAGTGCTCTCTAGTCATTGTGACAACAAAGGAGGCATTTCTTCAGATTTCCAAAATGCCTTCCTAGGTGGGCAGTTCAAAACGATTAGGTTAGATGATTGTTACAGTGGAATAGTATTCATCTATTAAAGAGAACAAGGAAGATGTATGTACTGTCATGAAAGCTGTTGACGGTATATTGTTAAGTGGGAAAAAAGGCTACGAAACATCGCGTATAGTATCCCCCCCTTTTTTTTAGGATTTTATTTATTTATTCACGAGAGACACAGGCAGAGACATAGGCAGAGGGAGAAGCAGGCTCCCTGTGGGGAGCCCAATGCAGGTCCCAATCCCAGGACCCCAAGATCATGCCCTGAGCCACCCAGGCGCCCCTATAGTATCACTTTTATTAAAATATATACACACCCATACACGGAAGAAAGGCTGGAAATGAAAATGTTAGTAGAGAATGACTTTATGCTTTTCTTACATAAAAATTTTAAAACTATAAATTGGGTCAGTTTTATGAAATAATTACTTCTCGATGTGAAGGTTTAAAAACTCTTTACTTTGGCCAGTGACTGATTTTTTTTTCCCCCCTGAGGAAAGAAAAATAAATAAGCTTTATCATTAAAAGGATGTGAATGGGTATCCCCATGTGGCTCAGTGGTTTAGTGCCTGGCTTTGGCCCAAGGTGTGATCCTGGAGGCCCAGGATGGAGTCCCACATCAGGCTCCCTGCATGGAGCCTGCTTCACCCTCTGCCTGTGTCTCTTCCTCTCCCTCTCTGTGTCACTCATGAATAAATCAATAAAATCTTTAAAAATTAATTAAAAAAATAAAAGGATGTGAGAAAGAAGATAATCTGGTAAAAATTATCATCTGGCACTTAATATAAAATAATTTTGTTCTTCCATGTCAAAATTTAAAATGGGAGAAGTGGGTTAGTTGCTGTTCTATGTATTTATTTTGAAGCTATTGCCAAAAGGATTATGTTTCTCTCCCATTATTTTCCTCCAGGTCTTCATTTAGAAACAAATACAAAGAACAATAATCATCACTTGAAGGAGGGAAAGTGCCTTGAAGAGTGTTTCTTGGGCTTTAGAAAGGAAAATGCTATTACAGAATGTGAGAAATCCTGCCCCAGGCTAAGCAGATTAAATTCTTTCATCTACCTTCAAAGCCTGTGTTTTCTTAGACTCCTGCTGTTCGTCACAGAGAACAAACAACTCTGCTAGGTTGCCCTGACTTTAAAGAGGCAGAGTTTGGGGCAACCAGGGACACACATATCAGCTTTTATACCACTTCAGAGAGTTTGGATTGTACTTTTTCTTTTTTAAGATTTTTATTTATTTATTTGAGAGAGAGAGCATGAGTGGGAGGGGTGGGGGAGTGGCAGGCTCCTTGCTGAGCAGGGAACCCTATGTGGGGCTCCATCCCAACACCCTGGAATCATGACCTGAGCTGAGGGCAGACGCTTAACTGACTGAGCCACCCCGGCACCCCTGGATTTTACTTCTTGCCTTAATATTTCAGTAATAGTACCATCATTGGAACTGGAAGAAGGTATGCTATGCTCTCTGCTTACTGTGAGAGAAAGGAAGGGAGCTTTCCAGGGTTTAAATCTCAACTCAGATATAAAGTGGTAGATCGTAAGATGTATATTTAAAGGAGTTTTTCCCCCAACTTTTTATTATAAAAATTTGTAGACTTCCAGAAAAGTTGAAAGAACAGTACAGTTGGCCACTACCTACATTTAACAGTCATTAACATTTTGTCAGATTTGCTTTATCTAAAAATATATATATGTGTTGTGTAAGTATGTGACATTTTCTCTCCTGGAAAAATAACTAGAAAGGAAAGCTTATATTTGTAAATTTCTCTGCAAGGGTTATATCTATTTAAATGATATTTATAGTAGTAGATATTACTATAGGAAGGAATAAAGCTGCCCTGAAAAAAGGAATGTAATTTTTGTATTTTCTTATTTAGAATGAGCTCATCTTATTTCCAAGACAAGCTGAGTCTTCTGCACAGCTCACCACCTGTGTAGTTGCTGATTTTCACATTGAATTTTAGGTAATCATAACATGTTTTGAAGCTGATACATTTTTCTTTTTGTTCTAGATGATCCCTCTGATAAGCCACCTTGCCGAGGCTGCTCCTCCTACCTCATGGAGCCTTATATCAAGTGTGCTGAATGTGGGCCACCTCCTTTTTTCCTCTGCTTACAGGTAACTCATTAAGGAGAGGTTTGCCACTCCTGGCCTAGTTTTATGGATATAGTAAATTCAGAGATGACTGTCAAATACTCAAAAGGACCATATCTTATTAAATGTATCTCTCCTACTTTGTCTTCCATTACACATTTTATCAGTGAAAAGTTGGGGAGCAGAGCAGATGGATGACAGACTGTTGAATATTCTACATCTCTATATCAACCTAATGCTCAACACTGTTTCTGCCAGTAGATTTCAAGTATTGGGCCTACAGGAAACAGAATTGAAGGATTATTCGTTTCTATAGCACCTATGATACTATTATTGAAGAGTGATCTTTGGGCAGGTGACAAACAAGGGAACAAATCATTCTGTGGATGATGGTAGTAATAATACTAATTACAAGTGCTTACTTTGTTGTCAGGCACTCTTTTGAGTAATTTATGTGAATTAATCTTTAGTTCATCACTATAACCCTATGAAGTAGGTATGATTAGCATCCCCATTTTATAAAGGAAACTCGGGCAAAGAGAGTTTAAGTAGTTTGCTCAAGGTCACTCAGCAAATACCATATTTTATTGGATCCAAGACGCTGTTGATTATAAGAAGCATCCCAATTTTAGAAATGACAAATGGCTATTTTTATTTTAGAAAAAATAAAATGGCTTTTTATTACAAGATGAATCCTCATTTTAGAGTTTTAAAATATGAAAAACTACATGTCTTAGAATGGCCTAAATACTTAAGTATAGAGCTACGATTCAAATTTACTGAGTCTGATTCGAGGGCTTATGCTCTCATCAAAAGAGGAGGTGTCCTAGGAAGAAGCCTTTTTTTCAGATTGTTTTCTCCTCTGTGAGGGCCGCTGAAGAACTGTGATCAGGAATATAACCATCCTCTTGTGGCTGCAGACAAGATTAAATGAATTCTTAAAAACTCATCATAAGAGTAGAGCACCCCCAAACCATCTTTTATCCTATAAGAAAGCATTTCAAAAGGTAGCTTTTTGGTAACTTACTTTTCCTTTCTTTTGCAGTGTTTCACTCGAGGATTTGAGTATAAGAAACATCAAAGTGATCATACTTATGAGATAATGGTAATGGTGAAGTTGCCCGGAATTTCTATTCCTTTGTCATGTATTGTACTGGGAATATCTATTTTTCTTCACCCCCAAGTATCTACTTCCCTTTTCTTTCCTTCTCTTCTGAATTAGGTAATCATTTCCTAGTAAGTGTTTTAGGGTTTTATGGATCTATGAAGACAATTAAGTTCAAAAATCATTTTATATACTTAGATTTTTGTTTCAAACTTGGAAGGAATTTGAAAGTTTGAGGGGCGCTTGGCTGGCTCAGTCAGTAGAGCATGTGACTCTTGAGCTCAGTGTTGTGAATTTAAGCCCAGTTATGAGAGTAGTTTACTTTTAAAAAATTGAGAGATTAAAAAAAGTGCTTATTGAGGGATCTCTGGGTGGCGCAGCGGTTTGGCGCCTGCCTTTGGCCCAGGGCGCGATCCTGGAGACCCGGGATCGAATCCCACATCGGGCTCCCGGTGCATGGAGCCTGCTTCTCCCTCTGCCTGTGTCTCTGCCCCGCCCCCCCGTGACTATCATAAATTAAAAAAAAAAAAAAAAAGAAAGAAAAAAAAGAAAAAAAGTGCTTATTGAGATTTACTGATATAAGGATAAGAGGTACACTGCATTACTGGTTCACTGATAAACACATAGTAAATGTTGCTGTTTTGGTTAATGATATTATTATGTGGGCAGTGGTGAACTTTACTCTCTCCTCCTGCCTTGGGGAAATTAGTTACCCTCTGAGTTAAGTTAAGTTATACAATGAACATTGAGGTGCGCCTGAGTGGCTCGGTCAGTTGAACAGCTGCCTTTGGCTCAGGTCATGATCTCAGTGTCCTGGGATTGAGCTCTGCATCAGGCTCCCTGCTCAGTGGGGAGTCTGCTTCTCCCTCTGCCTCTCCCCTCTACTTGTGCGTGTGCGCGCTCTCTCTCTCTCTCTCTCTCTCTCTCTCTCTCTCAAATAAATAAAATCTTTAAAAAGATTAAAAAAGTGAACGATATATAATGTGAATGATATATAAAGTGAATGATATATAAAATCACTTTGAAGAGACAGATTGGCTTATAGGCCAGAAGAGGACTTGACTAGAACTTGATTGATTGTACTGCCACCTCTAAAGAAAGAATGAGAGGCAGATGTTGGTGGTATCCCTTCCAAGCTCTAGCCAGAGGAATGGGTACTTTAATAAGCCAAAATGAATATCTGGTCTGCTTGGCAGATGTGTATATCTTTGTCAAGATAGTTTTGTCAGTTATCAGAAAATAACAGTTACATTTGGCCTCCCATTCAATTTTTCTCACAGGAAGGAATATTGGCTGGGCATCTTAGCAGTAATAATTTTACGTTGTAGATCAATCCATTTATACTTGTATTAGTTTTCTATTGCTTCCATAACAAATTATTAAATGGCCTAAGGAAAAAAAATTTTTAAATTAAAAAATTAAGTGGCCTAAGAACACAAATTTATCGTCTCACAGTTATGTAGGTCAGAAGACCAGTAGGCTCACCCAGTTTGCTGCAGGTCCCATAATGTCAAAATGAAGGTGTTTGCTAGCCTGGGCTGTTATCTAGAGGCCCTGGGAGAGTTTGCTTCCAGTTTGCTTCCATCTGCATTCCAGTTGGCAAAATTCACTGCCTTGAGGTTGTAGGACTCATGCTACTCTTCCCTTATTGGCTGTTGGCTTGTTCTGAGCCACTAGAGAGCTCCCTTTTTCCATATTTGAAGCTAGCAATGGCCAGGAGTTCTTGAGGGTGATTGATAAAAAATGCCTGGAGCCTCTCTGACCTCTCCTGCTTCCTCTGTGCTGAATCTCTCCAACTCTCCTGCCTCCCTCCTCCTTTTTTAAAGGACATCTTATTTATTTATTTAATCTCTACACCCGATATGGGGCTTGAACTCATAACCCCAGGATCAAGAGTTGCATGTTTTTCCAACTGAGCTAGGCAGGCATCTCTTTCCTGCCTCCCTCTTCTACATTTATTTATTTATTTATTCATTCATTCAGTCAGTCAGTCAGTCAGTCAGAGAGAGTGAGAGAGGCAGAGACACAGTCAGAGGGAGAAGCAGGCTCCATGCAGGAAGCCCGATGTGGGACTGGATCCTGGGTCTCCAGGATCACACCCCGGGCTGCAAGCGGCGCTAAACCGCTGCGCCACCAGGGCTGCCCCCTCTTCTACTTTCAAAGGCTTGGGCCATTACATTGGGCCTACCCAAATTATCTAGGCTAAGGTCAGCTGATTAGTGCCTTAATCCCTTCAGCAGAGTTCCCTCAGAGCAATATCTATTTACTATTTGATTGAATAATGAGGGGACAGGAATCTTGGGGGGAGGGGCACATCTTTGAAATTCTGCCTATCACAGTGCCATAATGTATCTACTTCAGTCTCTGAAAAGTTTAGAAAGGGTAAATTAGCATCTCTGAGTCTGATTATTTGTGGGGTCCTATTTAAGATGGGTTTCTGAGGGGCGCTTGGGTGGCTCAGTTGGTTAAGCATCTGCCTTCGGCTCAGGTCATGACCTCAGGGTCTTGGGATTGAGCCCCACATCTCCCTGCTCATTGGGGAGCCTGCCTCTCCCTCTGCCATTCCCCCCGCATGTGCGCTCTGGCTCTTTTTATCTCACTGTCAAATAAAAGAACTCTTTTTTTTAAAAAAAGAAAAAGATGAGGTCCTGAGCCTCTAATGCTGAAAGTCAGATCCTGGTCCATAAAATGCTCATTTAGTAAGAGTTCTTGGCAGCCAACTGACTAGCCTTCTCCTCCTTCTTTCTAGACACCTTCAGTCTTCTAAATAGTTTCTCCACTAATTATAAGATTTGGAATAAAATTTTTTTAGGGGGTGCCTGGGTGGCTTAGTTGGTTAGGCATCTTCCTTCGGCTCAGGTCATGATCCCAGGGCCCTAGGATCGAGTCCCTCGTCAAGCTCCTTGCTCAGCAGGGAGTCTGCTTCTCCCTCTGCCTCTGCTCCCTGCTCATGCTCACTCTCTTTCTCAAATCTAAAACAATATTTTTTATATTAGACTTTGGTTTTGTTTTGTTTTGTTTTGTTTTTGAGCGGGGCGGGGGAGGGGGGGGAGGGGCGGGGGGGGGCCCCCGGCCCGCGGGGCTAGACTTTGCTTTGTAGAGTGATTATATGTTTGCAGCAAAATTGAATAGAAATTATGGAGATTTCCCATATATCTTCTGCCCCAAAGCGTGTATAATCTCTCCCATTAACAATATCTCCCATGAGAGTGGTATATTTGTTATAACTGATAAACCTACATTGACATGTCATTATCATCCAGAGTCCACCTTTTTTTTTTTTTTCAAGATTTTATTTGTTTATTCATGAGAGACACACAGAGGCAGAAACAGGCAGAGGGAGAAGCAGGCTCCCAGTAGGGAGCCCAATGCAGGACTTGAACCCAGGACCCCGGGATCACGACCTGAGCCAAAGGCAGATGCTCAACCACTGAGCCACCCAGGCGTCGCTCCAGAGTCCACATTTACATCAGAGTTCACTCTTGGTGTTGTACCACATTGGGCTTCTTGCTCATTGGGGAATCTACTTCTCCCTCTGCCATTCCCCCTGCTCCTTTTGCTCGCTCACTCACTCACTCTCTGAAATAAAATCCTTAAAAAAAAATGCTGTTGGAGTACCTGGGTGGCTCAGTCGGTTAAGTGTCTACTTTTGGCTCAGGTCGTGATCTCCAGGTCCTGGGATCTAGCCCTTCATCAGGCTCATTGCTTAGCAGGGAGTCTGCTTTTCCCTCCTCCTGCTCTGGTGCTCTCTCTCTCTCTCTCTCTCTCTCTCCCTCTGAAATAAATTTAAAAAATAAAATAAATTTTTAAAAAACTGTTATAAACTTCCATGTACAGGTTTTTGTGTGGACATAAGTTTTCAGCTCTTTTGGGTAAATAACAAGGAGTGCAACTGCTGGATCGCAAGGTAGGAGTTGTTTAGTTCTGCAAGAAACTGCCAAATTTGTCTTCCAAAGTGGCTGTACCATTTTGCATTCCCACTAGCAACAAGTGAGAGTTCCTATTGCTCTACACGTTCACCAGCATTCAATACCAGTATTTTTTATTTTGGCCATTCTAATAGGGATATAGTGGCAACTCTGTTTTAATTAACATTTTTTGATAAGATATGATGTGAAACATCTTTTCATATGAATAATTTTTATTTCTCTTTTGTCAATTGCAAGATGAAGGAACAGTTGGGAAGATGTGGTCAAAGTATCTATGACTTTGAGTTCATTTCACCAGTGTATCAGATCTTGAGAAAACTGGTTTTTTCTTCCCAAATTCACACATAAAGGCCTGAACCAGAACACAAACTTTTTCATTTGAATTGCTTTCACAGTTCCTTACAGGATAATCCAGTATAGGCTGGGTAGATTGATGGTCATCAACTGTAGGAAAACTGAGCATGCGCTCTCTAGCTTTTCTGGGCATCATGCCTTCCACATAATGCTGAAGGCACTAAGTTTCACTCCAAGGCCAATTAAGTCTTCTGATTACATCATCCTTTTCTCACATATTCAACACCCATACAAACACATTTCAGAAATCTGTCCTTTACTTTGGGGAGTTTTTGGAGGTTACTAATACTCCTTTTTTTCCTGCCAATCTTTTCTATTCCCAGATAAGGAAAAGAAATCTCTTTCCTTCTGTAGGAATGATGACCAAATTTTGCCTTCTACACAATGAACCCTCTAAAAACTTTAGTTTTTTTGTTTTGGGGGTTTTTGGTGTTTTTTTCATATGAAGCCACAGAAAACTTTAAATGGTTTTTAGTACTTTTGTCATCTCACAGTGCTGTATTTTTGGAAGTTACTCATGCTGTGGTGGGTGGTGCATTAATCAAGATTTCTGAGTTCTATGCCTATTTTTGTCTTATAATTCTTAGAACCTTGAACAAGTCAAAGCACCTCTTTCTGCCACACCCTTTATACCAGTGATCTTAAACTCTAGTGCCTAAGAATCATCTGGGAGCTTCTTAAAATTATAGATTTCCTAGGCCCTACTCTTAGAGGTTT